CTCACCCACGCCCCCGCACCAATGTCCCCCCCCCCCCCCCCCCCCCCCACCCCGCCCCCCCGCCCAGACCGCCCACGGTAATTTTTTTCCCACCCCCCCCCCCCCCCCCCCCCCCCCCGGCTCCTTTTTCCTTGTAATATACTTGTTGAAGAAATCAAGTGATTTGTCTTACAGAGTTTCCTGTAGTCTAGATTTGGAGACTACCTATCTCTGGGGTGATGTTTAACATATTCTTTCTGCTCCTCATTTCATTATAAGTTGTTAGTTGGACCCAAAGACTTGCTTAGTTTCCAGTTGAGGGTGCGAGAGCCCTTACCGGCGTTACAGAGCACGCCCATGGGCAGGCCCAGCACGCCTGCTGTCTCGTTCTCCAACGTGGGCAGTGAGGCTATGGCCTGGACCCATTATCTCCGTAGGGGCTGAGGGACAGTGCATGCTGATCCCGTCACATCTCTTCAGCTGGTACTTTTAACCCTTGTCTTCTCTTTGATTCCAGTGTAGTTAGCATGTGGTGTTCCGCTAGCGGCCGATGTGTGGTGCACCGCCCAGTGCTCAGCACCGCATGTACACTCTTTGTCCCCTTCCCCTGTGTCCCCTATCCTCTCTGGTGATCCTGTTTGTTCCTTAGGAGTGTTTTTTGGTTTGTCTCTTTTTTCCCTTTGGTCAGTTACTATGTTTCCTAAATCCCACGTATGAATGAAGTTCTGTGGTATTGGTCTTTCTCTGGCTTATTCTGCTTAGCATAATGTGCTCTGGCTCCAGTCGTGTCATGGGAAATGGCCAGATTTCATTCTTCTTTATGCCAAGTAATAGTCCATTGTGTGTGTCTATGCCATATCTTTGTTCGCCTGTCCGCGGACACCTGGGCTGCTTCCATACCTGGGCCATTGTGGATTGTGCTGCAGTAAACATGAGGGTGCGATGTCCCTTTGAATTAGGGTTTTCATATTCTTTGGGGAAATAGTAGTGCAGTGCTGGGTTGTAGGGCGGCTCTGTTTTGAACTTTCTGAGGAGCCGCCGTACTGTTCTCCAGAGCGGCTGCACCAGTTTGCATCCCACCAGTGGAGAAGGAGGGTTCTTTTTTCTTGTGTCCTCACCCACGCTTGTTTCCTGTGTTGATTCTCACCTTTCTGACAGGGGTGAGGTGGTGTCTCACTGTGGCATGTTTTTTTTTTTTTTTTTAAGATTTATTTATTTATTTATTTTAGAAGAGAGCATGAGTAGGAGGGACAGAGGAGAGGAAGAGAGAATCTCACGCAGACTCTGTGCTGGGTGTGGAGCCTGATGCGGGGCTCGATCTCACGATCCCGAGACTGTGACCTGAGCGGAGACCAAGAGTTGGGTGCCCAACCAGCTGAGCCCCCCAGGCGCCCCTCATCCTGCTTGTGAGCTGCTTTCCCTGATGATGAGTGACGTGGAGCGTCTTCCCATGTCTGTAGCCATTTGTATGTCTTCTTCGGAGAAGTATCTGTTCGTGTCTTCTGCCCACTTTTAAATTGGATTATTTGGGTTTTGGGTGTTGAGTTGTGTAAGTTCTTTATGTAATTTAGATACTAACCTTCTGTGGTATGAGGCACTGCAAATATTTTCTCCCATTCTTTTAGTTTGCCGGTTGTCTCCTTTGCTGTGCAGAAGCTTTCTGTTTTGATGTAATCCCAGCAGTTTATTTTTGCTTTTGTCTCCCTTGCCTGAAGGGACCCATCTAGAAAAATGTCACTATGACCAATGTCGGAGACATTACTGCCTATGCACTCTTCTCGGACTTTTATGCATTTAGGTGTCACATTCAGGTCCTTAGTCCGTTTTGTGTCTTTGTGTCATCCTCAGTTTCTTTAATCAGTGTTTTATAAATTTCAGAGTAGAGATGTTTCAACTCTTTTTTAAGTTTATTTCTAGATATTTCATTATTTTTGGAGCAGTTATAAATGGGATTGTTTTCTTAATTTCTCTTTCTGCTGCATCATTAGCGTATAGAAATGCAGTGGATTTGGCACATTGATTTCGTATCTTGCGACTTTATAGTACCTGGAATACTTACACGAAGAGAAACACTCCTACCAGTTACTTGGTTACCCTAGGTACACGTTATAAGGAGAAGCTGGATAAATTCTGGTTCTTAAGCTATGTCTATCAGTTTCCTCCGTAATCTGGTTCTCTAGCATTTGTTGAAAGTGGTGACTAGTAAGATTTTATTTGGTTTCTAACGGCGGTGTGAATTCATGAATATAGATGTACTTAAAATTTTAATCATCGTATGATTCTTATTGAAACTTAAAATGTCCCGTCTTGGCCAATAGGTACCTCTCCAGGTTGGCTCTTGGGCTCTGATACACCCTCAGTAGTCTTTGATGGTTTTGTTACTTTCTGGTAAGAAAAGATACTCCACACTCATTTTGTGTATTTTTTACCACAAAGTTGGATTTAACTGTTTCTGAGGATCTCTGTTAATTTTAAGTTCATTGGGAATAGGTGTTTAGAGAACACAGGTAGGGCCTTTGTTGGAATCGTTGATACCGGGTTGGTTTTCTTCAGTGGTATTCTGGAGCCAAGAAGTCCCCTTCCCTCCATACATACTTATGTTTCTGTTGGTTTGGCTTTTGGACACCAGAACACACCATGGGTTTATACTGGTGCTTCCTGCTCAAAGTCAGGACCAGAGGGTTTTCCTGACTTCTGCGCGGTGCTGTGTCCCATGCTGGAGGCTCTCTGACGGCTGAGTTTGCCCTTCTCCTGCGGATATACAAACAAATGTGTTTCAAAGTCCCTGGAGATAACGCTTCCCTGTGTGGTTGTGCTGCTAGCCCGACTTAGAGCTCATTTGTTTGTTTTTAGGGATTGCATTTTATGGTTTATAACTTTGTAAAATATTTATGGGGTTTCAAGATCTAAATAATGAATACTCACAGAATTTTTTTTCCATGTATGTCCTCTCCACTTCACCTGTAGGTAACCACTTTGTTTGTTCTTAGTATATCTGTGTACTCAAAAAATATACAAGCAGACGTACTTTTTCCATGACTTGACTTCAGTGAAGATAGGCACATTTTTTCCATTCCGTATATTCATCCAGACATAAGAAGTAGGAGTGGATGGTTTTAGGTTTTATACGTGGCTTATTGTTCATTTTATGGGTTTGGTATTTGGTGTAAGTGGAAATTATTTTCTGTCCCTATGTTGTTTATTTAAAAATATTCTTTCCTGGTATATGAAAATGTGTTTTTCTAATGGGCACTTGGGTTCTTTCCACCCTTTTGCTGTCTGCAAGTGCTGCTGCTGTGCAGAGGGTGTGCGGGCGCATCTGTGCGTAGTCTCTGCCTTGATCTTCGTCTACATGAAGATTATACACTATACTTGCGGGTGTAGCCTCAAAAGCAGAAGTGTTGGATCCGAGACTCCGTATTTTAACTTCGGCCGGCTGCCTTTCAGGAGAGGAGCCTCCCAGCCCCTTGCGGACTCCCACCGGCTTATTGCTGTCATTGTTGCGGATAGCGGGGTGGTGTGTCCCCAGTTGTGCTCTTCTTTCTCAGAATATTGTTTTAAATATTTTTTATTTATAAAGATTTTATTTATTTATTTGACAGACAGAGATCCCAAGTAGGCAGAGCAGCAGGCAGAGAGAGAGGGGGAAGCAGGCTCCCTGCTGAGCAGAGAGCCCGATGCGGGGCTCGATCCCAGGACCCTGGGATCATGACCTGAGCCGAAGGCAGAGGCTTTAACCCACTGAGCCACCCAGGGGCCCCAAAATACATCTTTATTTAAATTGCTATTATTTCTTAAAAATATTAAGAGAGAGAGAGTGCTTGTGCAGGGGGGGGGGGGGTAATGGGGGGGCGTGGGAGGAGGGACTGAGAGGGGGAGGCTGCTGGAGCAGACTCTGCTGAGCACACCCGACCCAGGCTCTCGATCCCACAACCTGAGCTGAAATCAAGAGTCGGCTGCTTAACCGGCTGAGCCCCCCAGGCTCCCCTTTATTTAAAATTACTTTAGTAATCTTTGTTGTATCAGAAAAATACGTCAGTCCTTTTATTGGGATTGTGTTATCTGTATACTGATTTGAGGATTGTAGCGGATTTTCAGTATCCGTCTCTGTGTCTGGACCATGGAATATGGATTTATAGTTTTCCTGAATGGTTCACACATTATTTATCGATTGTATTTAGATCTTTGATGTTCATTATAACTAGAACTTCTCCTTTAAGAAAATGTTTTTAAAAAAGAAGTTTTTGCTCGTACATAAGAGTGTGAGTGACTTATTGATGTTTACCTAGTACGTGGCTACTTAATGCTTTCACTTCCAAGGTTCATAATATAGAATCTTAGTTTTTAAGAGGATTTGCTGGCTTGGATATTTTTAGAGAAGAGAGTATATAATCTCAGCATGTCAGAGCTGAGCAGAAAATAGCACTGTGACCTGAATAGGCCTTTCAGAAATGGGCACCATCACACAGAACACACAGGAGGGCTGTGTTGTCTAATCAGGCTCTTCTGCAGGTCTGTGTGTCGTGGCGGTGACGTCACTCAGAAACTCAGTGCTGGAGCGAGAAGAAGCTCGGACAGAGGTGGCCCTGAGCAGCCTGCAGCACTAGCTGCTCTTTGGCGTGTGGTCACGGTCACACAAGAAGGTCACGGTCACAAGTTCTTCATGGTTTCTGTCCTCCGGAAAAAACAGCCTGGGGTCCCGGCTAGATTGAAGCATCATTGCAGGTGGTCGTGAATGTCTTTAATGACTCAGACTTGAGAATGTCCATGCCTCCTGCCTGCCCCTTACTAAGCGTCCACCCTCAGCCCTGGCTCTTGTGGGGAGCCCAGGGAAGTGGTCTCGTCTGATGGATTCTTCTTGGTATTCTTTGACTTCTTTTCTCTAACACACGTATTTCTCGTAAACAGGAATTAGGTCTAGAGGCTTTGAACATACCCAGGCAAAACACCCTTGCGACAATATTAATACTTCCTGGGTACTTCATGTCACATCATGTTAGGGGCCTCTGTGCTCAGGTTATTTATTAGTATTTCTGTGTTTTTTTTTTTTTTTTTTTTTTAGTTTATGTGGAGGAATGATTAAATATAAACCGACAGTAGCCACATCTTGTGAATATTCTCGTTTTCTCTTTGGGGCAGTTGACTAAGATAACGCGAACTGGCCCTTCTGCTTGGGAGACCAAAAAGATTCTGGCAGTTTCTTTTGCTCCTCTGGTCCAGCCCTGTCATTCGGAGTCTGGAAAATCAAGACTTGTCCAGTTACGTAAGTACAAAAACCCTTGCTTATCTTTTGGATCTTTAAAAAAAATCTCATTAGAATTTGAAGAGAGAGACGAATTGTAAGGAGCCTTTTAATATTTAGGAACATTTTTCTACCCACTGAAACCTTAAAATGTTACAAATGATTTTTAGACATTAAGAAAAGTAATAATCTGTTTTCAGCCCATTTTAGGTGGTTTTTGCCTTCTTTTAAACCTCCGGGAATTCTTGCTGGCCACGCCATTGAAGGCGGGAGGCTCTCTTGAGAAGGAGTTAGTTCTGCTCTGTGGCGAAGTCTCACAGAGACAGCGTGTTGCCAGCACCGCTGGGCCAGGGGCTCTTGCAGAGTCACGGGACCCCTCCCTCCTCGGGGCTGCCTCGTGGGCACACGCTTCAGGCGGTCTGGTGGTGGGAGGCTTGCCATGGAGATTGATTTGGCTAGCCCTCTGTCTTCAACTCCCTCAGGATGTGGAATCAGAAAGCGCTGACATCAGGGCCAGCATTATCCATATACTGTTTTATAATTTAAACAGAAATTTACACAGCAATGAGAATCCTAGTGATTTTATTTAAAATAAAACCATTCAGCATGGATTCTGCATTCTGATCATTTAGAAAATTTGGAAAATGCACAAAAAAAGGGGAAAAAATAACCGTAATCTCAAATCCAAAGATGATACATGTTAGCAAATTCCTTCCAGAAATTTTTTTTTCTTAAATTTGTGAGGAATCATTTATCAGATAGTCATGCACTGCCTTGGTCTCTGCTAAGTGGAGGTCACCTGCCACAGACATGGTCCTTGAAATGTAATGAGCAGCAGTACAATACAGAGAGGGGCTGAGAGGGGCCGGGGAGGGTTTGACAGAGGATGGGACATTTTGGGTGAAAGTGAATTTTCTGAGGAGAGGAGAAAGGGAGAAAAAGCATGAGCAGAGGCTGATGGGGACTTTCTACATGCAGGCCCCTCGGCATGGTCCGAGTGGGAGAAACTAGTCCACTGCGTGAGTTAGACTTGTCCTGGAGGCCGTGGGAGCCACCGTGTGTGTGAACTAAAAGATGGGGTGCTTCTGTCTTCTCGACGACCCTGGTGGCCCGGCGAAGGCTGAGTTTGTCATGTGTGTGCGCCCTGGGAATCTCCCCCGGAGATGCTGGCGTTACTCACAGGCAGCTAGGGCACGACCTTCCGCAGTGCTGCCCGAGTGTCGGAAGGTGAGGTGTCGTCGATGCGTCTGCGAGGCTTCTCGGGGGTTTGGTTGAAGACAAATTTTGTAGCATGAGGGCTTGACCGGGTCTGGGTAAGAACTGCGACAGCATGGAGCGCACCCCAAGAGGCTGGTTTTGAGACCAGAGCTTGAGCTTTGGAGCGAACGCTGGCTGATAAATAGCCCGGTGATGTTTCGGGCTCCAGAATGAACAGTTATTTGCAACTTTGTCTTCCTGGGCCAGAGTTTTCTAAAGTAGCGAAGGTGTTTCCATGGAGATGGTGGCCTCTGAAGCTGAAGGGATTCGGGGGCAGGTACATAGGGTGTTTCTGAGGAAAGACGTGGGCCTTGAGGTGTCCAGCATCTCTTGTGGATGTGGGTCTGGGGGGGTGCTCGGGACCCCGGTCAGGAGTGGAGCAGAGCCCTGGGAGCCACTGCCCAGTCTTTGTTCCTTGAACCATAGCATGGATGTTAGCATAGCAGGGATTGATAGGCACATAGAGTGGGGGAAATGGTAGAAATCAGCCCCTGAGGGAACACTGCTGGCCGTGGTGGAGAAGGGGCTGGCAGGAGAGACTTGGGCTAAGTTGGTTGCCTTCAGGCAGGACCTGGGGGTGAGCCAGAGAAGGAGTCCATTCAGCAGACTGAAGGGAGAGCAAGGCAAGGTGGGTGTATTGAGCAGAAAGTCATGATTACGTGTGTGGGGAGCACTCCCGGCAAACATGTTGCGTAGCAGGGCCCATGCTGGAGCCCATCCTGGACAACAGGGAGGAGACTGTTGAGCGGGAGAGGAGGCCTGGTGTGGACACAGGGAAGAAGGTGCTGAGAGCCTGGGGCTAGGGGCTTCCCCGGGGTCCCGTGGAACGGGCATTCACGGGATTCTGCGCAGGCCGCTCTGATTTGGGTGATAAATACTACAGACAACCTAAGAACCTTCCCTGTATTGTAGATCGTCACCTTTTGGGGAAGAATTTAGGTGCTGGAACCCCGCATCTTCCTCGCTCGCTCCCCTGCTGTGATCTCTTTCTCTGTCAAATAAATAAATAAAATCGTAAAAAAAAGAGGCCCTGGAGGGAGAGAAGTGGTGGTGGCTTTCAGTGTACTGTATTTAAACGCACAACCCTTAATCCCTCCCCCTTTGAGAGAAAAGCTCTCCTGTAGCCATATGCGTGCCGCCTGCATTACCCGGAGCTGGACTTCGATTACCTCATTCTGTGTCTCCTCGGGGTGCGCTGGCGTTTCTGTACCTACTTAGATTTGCTTTTCTCTATTAAAAAAGGAACAGACCCTCAATTTGTAAAGTACCGTGAAAATGTAAAGATAGATAAAGGAATTCTGGAGCCCCACATTCACTGTGTTCCACTGGATGAGAAAGAAGCCAGGAATGAGTACAGTAAACAGTCACGCACCCAGGGTTTTCTTCTGCCTCTGACCGATGACACAGACGACCTTGCTTCCTTCACGTACAGGAGTTCGGGGCGGCGCGCTTGGAAATACCGATTGAGAAGGGCCACGTGCGTGCGCGTCAGGGGCGGCATGAGCGGCAGCGGGCGTGGATGACCGCGAGGGGACGGTTTTCCAGAGTTGGGGCTCTGTGCTGTCTGGGTCCCTCGCAGCCCCGGCTGACGCGTCTCCTTCTTTGCCCGCAGCGCCGCTGGCCGTGCGGAGCCTCCAGGACCTGGCTCGAATCGCCATCCGCGGCGCCATTAAAAAGGTCATCCGTCAGGAGACCGCGAGCGGCAGCGGCCACGGACTGAAGGGCACTCCCCGGGCCAAGCGACGCCGAGTGCGGCGCCGTCGCATGGAGACGATCGTCTTTTTGGACAAGGAGGTGTTTGCCAGTCGGATCTCCAGCCCCTCCGACGACAACAGCTGTGAGGACTTGGAAGAGGAGCCGCGTCGGGAGGAGGACAGAGCCCCGCTGGAGGCGAAGCCGGCCCCGCCCGTGAACTTCCTGCGCGAGAAGGTCCTGAGCCTCCCTCTGCCAGACCCCCTGAAGTACTACCTGCTCTATTACCGGGAGAAGTAAGTCTGGGCACCGGAGGAGGTGCAGCCCGAGGCCGCCCTCCCACCCCCACCCGGGCCCTCGCGGGGTCGCCGGCCTGCGCCGTGGGGAAGGAGAGTGCGGTCCTCTGCACGTTTCTGTGTTCAGTCTGTTCTTGGGTTTCCTCTAGAATTCCATCGTCGCTATCATTTCCGTAAACGTAGTCTTTTGACAAGCAAAGTGCATAGGGGAATGTTTTCTCAAAGGGGAGAGAATCTCCTGGAGACGGGTGTTTGCTTTCTGCTCCGGTGAGACTCTGACATCTGCGCGCAGAGACCCCCCGAGACACACATGTCGGCATTGCCCGTGAAGCAGGGAAGTTGAAATTAACCCGCGTTGCTCCTAAAATGTGTGAAAGAAAGCACAAGTTTGTAAGTGTGTGACCTCTTTCCCAGTTGTGAGGCACCTGTGTCCAAGTTAGAACTTTGTGGTACCAGCCTCTTGAGCACTGGCGCTGATCTCCACTAACCTTTTCAGTTTCCTGGAGGGGGACCATTATCGAAAAACTCTCCCTTATTTTAAATAAATGTGATTAAATCTTATGTGAGTTGTCGATTGTAATTTTAAAGGAGGGAAATTGTCATGGGGGAGGAAGAATAAAAGTATCAAACCGCTAGATGTCTGTCTGGAATCGCAAAGTGATTCGGAATGTTTTCCTGACACTTTTTCTTACCTTCAGAAGAATGAGTGTCAGATAATCCCTTAGGGAATACTCAAGAATGAAGCAAGTATTGTGTATGATGACCTCCGTTACTTTTACCCCAAGGGTAGGGATGACCGTTGACCCAACCTTGCGTACGCTAGTGGGTGTCTAAGGCATGGACGTGCTCAGTCCTCAAAACGGGGGGACGTGTTTAAGCTGCAGGAAGTGCAGTGGGGACAGTGTTACCGATCGCCTCTGCCTTTTTTTTTTTTTTTTTTAACATCAGTTGGCTATTTTTCTGTAATCATATAGGTTTTGTCTTTTATAACTCTGGGGGAAAAGACGTGTTAGTTTTCTAATTTTTCTTAATAACAAATACGTGTATTTTAGTAGCTCCATTGCATTAAAGGAATGGTCTGAGCACCAGTGACTTGTGAAGTCTACCTTCTCCGGGCCCTTTGGGTTGAGCGCTTTCTGTCGTTACCAAGTTCTGCGTCTAGAAGAGAAGGCCATCTGTCAGATGGTAGAATGCTTTCAAGTTATTGGTCATTCCAAAGCATCTGTTCTTTTCAAACTTATTTTTGTTCTGAAAAAAAAAGAATGGCCTAAAATGTTAGCAAGAAACCCGAACTCAAGAGTGCTGATGTTGGATGTGTCGTCTGGAGTTAATGACTAGTTTTATCCCTGAGCTTCTTGGGTGTCAGAAACCTCTTTGTGGTTTCACCAGCTGAACTGAGTTCTGGTAGTTTGTTTCTTTATTTAATTTCTTCTTCTTTTTCTTCTTCTTTTTTTTTTTTTTTTTTAAACTTTTCTAGGTAACTGTATCATTTTTTTCACAGGATACTGTGTGCATGCGTAGCTGGGGATACATGTCTGTTGCCCTAGATTTGAAAATGTAACCCTTTGTAAAAGACAGTTACTTCATAGTTGTTTTTAACCTGGCATTTAACTGAAGGTCAAGCATCCTCGTCTCAGAGGCGCGTGGTTTACGTTCACTTGCGGTCACTTCCTAGCGTGCACATCTCTGCTGACATCATTCTAATTGATACGTAGCAGTCTCTGCAAGCACGGACATTTGAAGCATAATGTCAAATACACGGTATTTGTGAAATCTGTTACACTAGGTGGCTTGACTAAGGTTTTTAATTGTATGTGATTTTATTTTTTTTTAAACCACATTTTCCTTTATGCTGGACTGTAAAAACTTCATAATGCATAAGACATGTTTTTCCCTACATATGTCAAACCTTTCTTAACATTTGTGTTTGTGTTTACATGTTGTCAGTTTGTGATGTTTAAACCAGAATTTGGTTAAAAGTATATGTAGATATAATATATGTGAGATAGTTTGGTGTTTATCTTACACACCTAGAGAAGAATTGTAAATGGGTTTTCCTGGGCTAAAGTGTTCCTCACCAGAGCCCACGACGACGCACTCCTACTGTCTGCTTCCCGACAGATGGATTGTGCGTTACCTGTAGCCTCTGTACTGTAGCCCGCATTCTAGACAACTTGACTTGTGTGTTTTGAGGAATGTGTATTTCTGTATGTGATTTTCGTCTTGAAAGTAGGAAAGCCATAGACATGTGCACAGGAAATCGCAAATGTACTAATACCGAGTACGTAATGTAGACACCAACTGTGTGTGTAACGGCGCTTCCGCAAGTCTGGACCTTTCAGGGAATCGATGCCAGAAACTACTAACAGCAATTTTAGTGAGTGGATATACATTGGGTGAACACAGAGGATGTCAGTAAATATAGTTACGGCACTTGGGCCTCTTGGCATGGCTTGTGTTTCCTACGTGGGATTGAAATTCTTGAGTACATATTTTCCAAAAATCTTCAAAAATAAACTTTTTCTTTATTACAAGCAAGTGTTTTCTCTCACTGTGTTATTACCTCATTCTGTACCATGCTAATACACTTCAGGAAGACATCGTTATTTTTTTAAAGATTTATGTATTAGAGCTCGGGCATGTGCACAGGTCGGGGGAAAGGCAGATGGAGAGGGAGAGAGCCCCTCAGACTGTGCGCTGAGCACGGAGCCTCATGCAGGGCTCGATTCCACAACCACAAGATCACAACCCCAGCCAAAACCCAGAGTCGGGTGCTTAACCAATTGCATCACCCAGTTGGCACTATTTTTAGCTAAACACACTTGGTTTGGCAAAACAGAGAAGTGGTAGCTCAGGCTCCAGGAAAGAATACGTGTCTGTCGTTAGTTTTTGGGCACAATTTTTCCGTTTCGTGAAAATACTAAAAGATAATTGGGCAACGGTAACGTCTTTCGTGGCAGCAAGGGATGAGAGTTAGGTTTCAGATTGGGTTCAGGCAGTCAGGGACCAGGTGCCAGGGCCATGCTTTAGGATTGGGGCCTAGGCCCAGGGTCAGGGTGAGGGCCAGAGATCAGAAGTAAGGGCCCAGGATTGAGGGACAAAGTTAGGGATAGTGTTTGGGGTCAGACTGGTTGCTGATGGTTGCAGCCCATCCGGACTGCTAAGGCAAAACTGCTGCATTTTGGGTGGCTTGTGAGCAGAAATACATTTCTCATAATTGCTGAGGCTGGAAGTCTGAGCTGAGGGTGCTGACATGATCGGCCGAGGGCCCTCTTCGTCGTGGCGTGCTCCTCATGTGTTCATAGGTAGGGAATAGCTTAGGGTGTCTATGGGGGAAGTAGTCCCCTTTGTGAGGACTCCACCCTTACCGCCTAATCAGCTCCCAAAGGCACCCTGTTCCAGCATCATCACGTCTGGCATTGGGATTCGAACATGTGAACTTGGGGGGAAAACAGACATTCAGACCATAGCACTGGACCTTTTTTGTATTAACCTTTACTTTTTAATAAATCCCTATATTTTCCCAAAGTACCGGAATGATGGGCTCTATTTCAATTGGAACTTGCTAATTATGGCACTGAAGAATCAGAACCTGCATTCCAGGGATTCATTGGGTGTTCCCCGAGGGTCTAAACTGTGAGTGGGATGTGTTCTGTGCTGCAGCCTTGTGGGCAGCAGGGGGCCCCCTACCCTGAGGGAGAGCATGCGCATCCTGGCCTTGGAGTCAGCCCCACACCTCGATGAGGACGTGAGTGGCTTGAAGATACACCCGCGGCTTCTGGGCTGCAGCTTGGGGGCACTGAGGACAAAGCCAGGAGATGGCTTCCGTTGATATCCCCAATGAACTTTAGCTTAGCACAGCCCTCCCCAGCGTCCTCCTGAAACCTAGTAAAAGCTGACTTTCACTTAGTCTCTGCGAATGTTCCTGTGGTTCACCACAGCTCACTCGTCCCAGACTGCAATTCTGCTATTCTCAAATAAACTCACTTTACTGCTAACATAGCTGGCATTTTACCTTTACATTAAGAGTTTTTATGGGCGCCTGGGTGGCTCAGTGGGTTGGGCCTCTGCCTTGGGCTCAGGTCATGATCTCAGGGTTCTGGGATCGAGTCCCACATCGGGCTCTCTGCTCAGCGGGGAGCCTGCTTCCCTCTCTCTCTGCCTGTCTCTCTGCCTACTTGTGGTCTCTCTCTCTGTCAAATGAATGAATAAAATCTTAAAAAAAAAAGTTTTTATGTGGAACTGTCTGTATGCATATTAAGCTGAAGAGTTTATACAGGTGTCTCTAACCCAAATACTGTAATCTCCCTTTGCTCAGCGGTGACGTGGCTAGCACTCTTGCAATGACGGAGTGGGCTCTTATCATTTGTCACTTGCTCCATTCTGTAGCACAGATGTAAGCGCTTCAGCATCGTTGGCTACCGCCATCATGGGAAGGGACTTTATAAAACAGGGTCCACTGTTTATGTGACTTCAGTCTACACCTTCTGTTTCCGGAGCTGCTTAGGTCAGCACCTTGTGCCCCACCAGCTACAGTGAGTTTCTCCATACATTTCTAATATGGTTAGATTATCAGTCATATTCTGTATTCTATCCTGTGACATTCCACACTCTAAATAATTCAGTTTGAATAATTATGATGTGCTCTTAGGCTATAAAGAACCTGTGAGTTGTGACAAATGCATGGTGGTGGGTGTTCATCACTGGAGTATCGCATGGAGAACCTCAAACCCTAACCATGATCCATTTGTCACCTCTGTAGTTTTGCCTTTTCTAGAATGTCCTATAAATGGGGCCATGCAGTGTGTAGTCTTTTCAGACTGATTCTTTCACTTGGCAAAATGCGTGCAAGGTTCATCCATGTCTTTTAGGGGTCGATGGTTCATTCCTTTCTACTGCTGAATAGTAGTGCATGTATAGGTGACTAAAAATAATTTTTCCTTTATTCTTCTAGGTTCTTGGCTGAGACCACTTCTAGCAGTAAAAGATGAACAGGAGAAAACAGAAGTTTAATAACGTGTACACATCTTGTGTACGTGGGAGATACTCGGGAAAACTGACTAGCTCCCCGAAATGGCCCAAGTAATCACTTTAAATACCATCTTCAGCTAAAGACAAAGATTTTGGGTGGTGAGAAGGTCAGTCAAGGGAGGTTATCAGACCAAGGACAGCACATAAGAGTAAGGTTGCATGCTGTGCAGGGTTACGTTCAGGCCTTCTCCACTGATAGGAGTTTCTTGAGATTGGGTCACCCTTCCATTTCTGGTGCAGAGACGGGGGTATCCTTACAGGTGGGGATTTCCTTTATAACTAAATTCTGCTCGCTATAGAAAGCTTCTCCTTGGTTTTTAGAGAGTCTCTTTTGCCATTTCTTTTTTTTTTTTTTTTTAAAGATTTTTAAATTTATTCATTTGAGAGAGAGACAGAGCACAAGCAGGGGGAGCAGCAGGCAGAGGGAGAAGGAGAAGCAGGCTCCTTGCTGACCTGGGAGCCTGACATGGGGCTTGATCCCAGGACCTGGAGATCAAGACCTGAGCAGAAGGCAGATGCCTAACCATCTGAGCCACCCAGGTGCCCCTCCTTTTTTTTTTTTTTTTTTTAAAGGTGATTTACTTCTTTGTCAGAGAGTGGAGAGTGCGAGAGCACAAGCACAGGGCGGGCAGGCAGAGAGAGAAGCAGGCTGCCCGCTGGGCAAGGAGCTCTATGTGTTGCGGGGCTCCATCCCAGAACCCCGGAATCATGACCTGAGCAGAAGGCAGCCGCTCCACCGACTGAGTCCCTTGGGCGCTCCTGTCTGCTGCTGTGTAAAATTAACCAGACCCACCTAACCCTTGTGCTAAAGAGGCATATCGTGAGGGGGAGTGTTCTGCTTTCGTCTCGTGGACATGCCACAGTTTGATTACGGACTCATCTGCTGAAGGACATCCTGATTTCTTTAAAATTTCAGCCATTAGGAATAGAGCTGCTGTGCATAGCTGAATGTGAGTTTTTGTTTGGAAACAGTTTTCCAAAGCAGTTACCTAAATAGCTGAAGTGTGATGATGGTTGGATCCTAAGTGAGACTTGTTTAGCTTTGGGGGAAAAAATTCAAATTGCCTTTGCTAACCCTTAAAAATGGAATTGCCAGTTATTTTACCAGCAAGAATGGATTTATTTGGGAATAGTTGAGAATTTCAATCCAGGACAAGCAAGCTTAGGTGAAACCATAGACAAGTACACGGAGCAAAGCAGAAGATCGTGCTCTTTTACAGAGGAAAGCAGACGTTAGGAGGGGCTGTCCTAACCGGAAGTCCACTGGAGTAACGGGGGGGCTCAGGTGTAGTGGCTTCTCACTGGCTGAGCTGTTGCCTGGGAGGAGGGAGCCGTTCTTCTTCCTTCTGGGGTAAGAACACGGCACAGACTGGGCGAGGTCTACATCTTCCTGTTGGGCCTGCGATTGGGGTAGACTTGGTACGTGAGAACCTCCCCGATGGAACTCTCCCAGACTCCGTTTTCGTGAGATTTCCCACGACTGAGTCTCACTTCCCAAGTGCCTGTACCTGCGTCCCCCCAGCGAAGGAGAGCTGCTGACATCCTGCACCCTCTTCTCTGGCCAGGTGTCTGTCTAGATTTTTACCCGTTTTCACTGAGATTGTATGTTTTCGGATCATTGAGTTCTGAGAGTTTTCTGAGAGTTCTTTGTATACTTTGGATCCAGATCCATTACCAGACGCATGTTTTGCACATTTTTTCTTCAGGCTGCGGGTTTGTCTTCTGATTCTCTGAGCACGGTGCTTCACAGAGCACTTTACATTTGATAAAGGTCGTGCTACCAGTATTTTTCTTTTGGGAATCGGTTTTGGTGTTGTGTGTCAAAACTCATCACCACACGCAAGGTCATGTAGATTTTATGTTTTCTTTTTGATATTTCAGTAGTTTTGCACTTTAAATTTATCTGCAATTTTTTAGTGAATTTTGGAGTCAGCTGTAACATTCGGGCTTCGATTTCATTGCATTGCATTGTGTGGCAGGCTGTTTCCCATGAGCTGTTCTTAAGTATTTCTGGAGAAGTCGGGGGATATTGGGCTCCATTTCGGTTTGAATTTCCCAAAGTGAATGGATTCAGTCTGACTGGAGAAGCCGCGTGAGTTCTACACTTTCCTCCACCGCCCGCAGGGGTTTCCCGACCCAAGGGAGGCGGGCTCCGTCAGCCCCTTCCTTTCCGCCTGCCCCTGCCTCTTCAGGGCCAGCTGTGGAGGACGCGGGGCCGCGTCCACGCTGT